GTTTAAACATACTGTTATTTAACCTTGGTTAATTAATTAAAATAAGCTTATGATATCTGACAAGAAAAATAACTCATGGTCTCACAAAGGTTTTCACCCAAAATGAAGTCATTTGAATTAAACCCAAGTCACCAAGCCTATTCCAACCCAGGCATGTCAACCTGTAGTTTCCTGGTCAGGTAAGTCTCTTTGAGAAGTGAAGGGTTTCAACAAATGGGATAGTATTCTGTAGTTTTTGTTAGTCTCTCAAATATTTTTGGAAATTGTAAATTATAGAGCTCTGCCATGTTATATTAAATAACAGGAGCTCACTGAATAGCTAGCTCAGACTATTGAAATATTTATTACTAAAAAAAAATATTTATTACTGACCTCACATTTACATTTGGCTTCATATTGCAGGAGAACTAAAAAAATTCATCAGTTGATAAACTACTATGAGGAAGCACATGTTCTAGAACTCTTGAAGTTTATTTATAGATGTACAATCTAAAAATTTTGGAGTAAAAGACAGCTCACAGTTACTTCTAGTTTTCATTAGAAATTAAGGTTTTAAGGGTTAAGAATTCTAACTAATATGTGAAATTAAAGCTAATAGAAACAATGAAGGAAATATCTCCACATATATATATAAGATGTGTTTTCACCAAAAGCATAAAGAATGGAGGTGTAGTTTTAAGGGGTGAAAAGCAACTTTTTAAGAGACTGATTGTTTTGGAAAGAGAATTAAGAAAGCACAGGACAAAATCTGAACATAAAAGATTTGTGGGCTCTCTCTGGGGGCACAACGGGTTAAAGCACCACATTACGAAGCTCTCCAAAGCCACTGCAACACAAGTTCGATTCCTGGCCAGGGAGCTGACCCACATGGTGCGGCAGACCTCGTCTGACCCGCCCGCTGCTCCCCTCAGCAGTGTACTTTGTCAATCTGCCTATTCTGCTCCTCACTCTGTCTCTGGTGAATCTTCTCACCCACCACACCTCTGGCCTGTACCCCAGTTCTATAAGCATAAATAAATAAATCTTTTTTAAAAAAATGATTTGTGGTGAAAGGAATTTTGGGGAAAGAAACTTTGTGTATGGTCAAGTTGGGTAAAATTAAATGAGTTTGTTAAAAGGATTTATTTATTTATAAGAATTTTACATCATCATTCATTCTCCTCTCAGGTATAATCTCGAGACACCCATGAACTGCGCCAATAGTCTCTTATGCCTTTCCCGCTCCCCATGTTTTGGTCCCTCTCCCTCCCCTTTCCCAGCGACTATCTCTGATTTACAGTTTGCCTGCTGGTTTTGTCCTTTCCCCATCCCTTGTTTAGTTTCCCTATATGCCTGCTAAAGTGAAACCTTCCAATGTTTTTCTTTCCTTCTGACTTATTTCACTGAGCACAATCCCTTCCAGCTCCATCCATGTTGCTGTGAATGGCATGAGTTTATCTTTTTGTTTGCTGTATAATATTCCCTTGTGTATGTACCACATATTCTTGATCCAGTCATCTGTTTGGGGCATGTAGTTTGTTTCCATATCTTAGCTACTGTAAATAGAACTAAAATAAACATAGGAATTCCCATTTCTTATTCTTTTTTTTAAAGAATTATTTATTTGTGCACACACAAATAAATGGTACAGACAAGAGGTGGAGGGTGTGTGTGTGAAAGGATTCACCAGAGACAGAGTGGGGGCAGAACAGGGAGATAAACTGAAATCTAGGGGGAGCAATGGGTGAGACAGGAGAGGTCTGCCTTGCCATATGGGTCACCTCCCTGGCTGGGGATCAAACTTGTGCTGCAGTGGCTGTGGATAGCTTCATAGTGCTGTGCTTTAACCTGCTGTACCACCAACGAGGGCCCGGAATTCAGGTTTCTTTTAAAATTAAAGTTTTTGTGGCCTTTGGGTAGATTCCTAGACGTGGAATTACTGGGTGATACGGTAGCTCCATTTTTAGTAGATGGAGGAACCTCCACCAGCTTTCCACAGTGGTTGGGCCAGTTTGCATTGTAAGAGAGTTCCACTGATCTGGACCACATGGCAGCCAGACTATCGGCCAGGATCCAACTCACAAATTCAGCAGAAGAGCTGACAGCAGATGATCAGTGGAGCTGCTCAGATGTGCTGGCAGTTACAATCAACACTCAAAACAGCAGCTCAGCGAGGTGCCCACCTCTGGGTCTTCACCTTTCCTGCCAGGCCATAACAGCAACAGAACTAGGAACAATTTCAGTCGCTTGGCTACTTGCAAAGCCTACGAGCCTTTCTTCTCTGAGGCTGGCTGCCGGAAGCCTCTCCACATCCTTCAGAGGTCAGCAGCAGCATTCTAGATCAGCATGGTGGGAACAGAATGGCTGACTCTGGAATCCTCAAGACCTGAAAATGTTCAGATCTCAAATGCTGAATCCTGGGGGTTGCTTCTGCAACCCCTTATATTTCTTCTCAAAGTCTTTGTAACAGGGTGGTCCCCAGGGAAAGGGGAGGTGCCAGGTTCCCTGCCTTAACATCTCTACCTTCACCAATACTTTATTTTTTCTTGAGGCTATTGATTCTCGCAAGCACCACCCCCCTCCAGAGAGCACCACCTGTACCAGGCTTTGGCTTCAGTGCCCTGTTACATGTATAGGCAGAGCAAAACATCTAGAGCATCTGGTTTTGTCCCATAAAGTCATTCCCTCCTTATCATGTGAGACCCTCTCTCAGGCCCCTATCCCATTAACTCAAGATAGAAAACATCAGTCTGTCTCATTTAGAGTTAACAACCATGTAAATTCTCCATGAGCACGTAAATGAATTAGGTGTTTTTCTTCTAACATGTTTAATGTTATTTTGTTTGCTTGTGCAGTGGGACCCAGAAAAGTGGGATAATTTTTCCTGGTGCTCCCACATTTGGATGTAAAACCCCAGTGCTGTGATGTGGGAATACATAGGATTCTAAAACCCAGGCCCCAGGACTTATTTTCTCCCAAAAGCCTCAAGAAATACTCCTCAGGGGCTTCCTTTAAAAGTTCAGGGCCAGGCCCTCCCTGGTGGCGCAGCGGGTTAAAGCACAGCAATGAGAATCTAAAGCTGCTTCCGCATGAGTTCGATTCCTGCCTGCCCCGGAGGTGACCACATGGCGTGGCAGACCTCTCCTGACCCGCCCGCCGCTCTCCTCAGCAGTGTACTTCGTCGATCTGCCTGTTCTGCTCCCCACTCTGTCTCTGGTGAAGCCTCTCGCCGCCCCTGAGCCTCTGGCCTGTACCCCAGTTCTGTATGCACAAATAAATAAATCTTAGAAGAAAAAAAAAAAGTTCAGGGCCAGAGAGTTTCTTCTAAAGCAGGACATTCCCCCTGGGTGAAAGTTTGCCCAGGACACCTATGCTCTGGACACCTGTCCTCGCCCTGCACTGTTCTCTTCCTGCACCATGGGCTCACCCTGCCCTGGGATGCAGTTGGAAGCCTGAGACCCAGAGTGATCAGGACCCTGGTTGACTGGTCCCTCAGTCTGGAAATGAGAGCCCACCTCTGCCCAGGGCTCAGCACAACCCAACTCTTTGGAGCCTGATTTGTATCCTTGGTGTAGTCCTGACACTGGCTGCAGGTCTCCTAATGTTCACCAGGGGGCAGCATTGCAGCACACAGAGGTTAACACAGGACTCTGGCTCTGGCTGAGGTGGATACTGATTTCTATTCTAAGCATCTGCAAACTCTCTGGGTTCCTCCCACATGTATGTTTTGTTAGACTGCTCATTTCTGGGTCCTTTAACCACCTGCTCTGTCAAGGGACCGTGTGGCATTTCCCACTTCGTCTCTGCCACCTCCATTGGGGAAGGCGGGTGACCATGGGGAGTCAGCAGGCAGAGCAGAGGCCCCCAGGACAGTGGGGAGAACACGGGCTGGCTCCCAGTTACAGCTCATCCAACAGACACGAGAGGGTCTCCCTGAGGTCTTCCCCCAGGACCAGAGAGCCAGACCCCGACCTCCCCCCACCTGTCCTCTCTTCTCAGGATACGAGGAAACCTCCCCCTTCACACCAGGAGCTGCAGCTCCTGAGACACCTGGTCCTGAATCTCTCAGCTCCTGAAAACAGAGACCAGGCTGGTGATGTTGGAGCTGGAGGGGCCCCTCCTCGGACCTCACTCAGCTGCTCTGTTCTCACCCCAGAGCCTCTGTGACCCTCTTATCTGGAGGGAATCCAACCTTCCCAGAACATCTGAGACAGCAAGGAGACCCCATGCCCAACCAGTTCCTGTGCCATCCTCTGGGTCTCTCTGTGGTGCAGACAGACCCCAGACCAGGACATAGCACAGGCCAACAACGGGGTGGGAGGTCGCTTTCAAGCACAAGGGCCCCCTCAGTCTCTCTATGGAACGTGGGCTCCACGGGCCAGGATGATCAGCACCACCTGGGAGCTGGGGAGACGCAGATTCTCAGGTCCCCCCTCACCTGCCAGGTCAGGAGCTGCGTATTCCCAGGACCTTCATTCCCTCCCTGTGCACAGGACGGGGAGAGGCTCCCTCTTGTCATCATGGGGTCACCTGGCTGGGTATCCCCATCCACGGGCACCTGCTGAAGCACATGTCTAAGGTATTATCTGGGCAGTGCCATCTTTATACATTTCCACAGGTGATTCTGTGCATAGAGGGGTAACATCGCTGTGACAAAAGTCCTCATGTGGCCCCTGGGCTCCTGCTTGGAAGGAAAAAGTCAGTAAGAAAGAAGGTTGTGGGGAAGGCCACTATGCAACCCAACCTAAAGCTGTGAGGAAGTCCTGAATGTAGAAACCCCAGACTTATGTTTACTCAAACATTATGTATACGAGTTTCTATCTGCTTGTAGGTCAAAAGTTACAGTTGAAAGCCTATAGCAGTTTCTGGAGAACCTGTATGTAGACAGAAAGGAAATAAGAAAAAAAGGGAACAAGGAAGGAAGGAAAGAGGTCCCTGCCAGAGACCCCGCCCCCAGGCCACATGACCCTGCTAAGTGCTCCTGCCCGGGAGGAGGCCCAGTCCAGAGCAGGAAGCACCTCAGCGCTGACACTCCGGAGCAGCTGTGCCTGGAGCCTTCTGGAGCCCCAGCCCCTCCCTCAGAGGAGCCCAGAGCAGGAGGCAGACGCCATGGAGGCCCCCTCAGCCCATGGACACAGAGGGCGAGTCCCCTGGACGGGGATCCTGCTGGCAGGTGAGAGGAGACTATGTAAGGGGAAATATAGGAGAACAGTGACTGGCTGGGTATGCTTGGAGGACAGAGTCTGAGAGGGGACAGGGAGCTTCTGTCCAGACCTGAGGAGAGGAGAGTAGCATGGATGGGGCAGGGGCTCAGCTGTAGGAAATGCTCATGATCTGAAGTGGTGAGGAACAGGAGACTGCAGGTGTTTTCTAAGTTATTCGTCACTGAGCAATAATTATTAAAAATTGGTGAAAATAGTAACAATTTAAGTCAGGAGGCCATACCATAAAAACCACAAACAGCACTCTAAGCCTTATCCGGCTGGAAACTGGCAACACCAAGACATGGAGGCTGGAGGCCGGAGGGACATTCGCTCATTCCTCCAAGGATGGCAGCCTGTCCCACTGAGGGGGCAGGGAAACAAGATCAGACAAGTCCCTGCCCGCATGCAGCTCCTGTTCTTCAGGAGGAAGACTGACAACAAAGATCTGGAATGTGCTGTGAGGGAAAGGTCACACCGTCAGGACAGAGGGTCCGAGAGCAGGGCCAGGGAGGCATCTCCCAGGACGCCCTGAGGGGGAGCAGGGTCTGAGTGCAGGGAGGGGTGAGGAGGACACACACCTGGGGAGGGCATTCAAACAGAGGGAAGAAGTTCAAAACCGGTGGTGGTCATGCTGTTGACCTTGAACATGTAGGACACACACAAACACACGCCCCCAAAACGAGGGATTCTGGACTTGCACAGACACCAAGCCTCCCCTTCCCATCCCAATAGTTTGGTCCAGATTCTGATCAGTGTCTCTCCCTTCCCCCCAGCCTCACTCTTAGCCTTCTGGATCCCGCCCGGCGCTGCCCAGCTCACTATTGAACCAGAGCCCGTCAATGCCATCGAGGGGGGGAACGTGACTCTGCATGTCCGCGGTCTGCTAAAGGAGGTTGGAATTTTTAAGTGGTACAAAGGAGGAAAAGTGGACGGTGAAACACTTATTATGTCATATAAAGTAGGGTCTCCAGCAGATGGCACAGGGCCTGCACACAGCGGCCGAGAGACTATAAACTCCAATGGATCCCTGCTGGTCTGGAACGTCACCCAGGAGGACACGGGGCCCTACACCCTACAAATCACGTATCGAGATTTTGAAGAGAGAGAAGTAACTGGACAGCTCCGCGTTTACCGTGAGTAGCTCCTCTCTGGCCTACGTGTCTAGGTGGGACATACTGTGCTTCACACACAGGGGGCCAAGAGGCTGGTCCTGTACCTCCAGCCCCTCCAATCAGGTGTCATGTTGGGGCTGAACATTTAGTTCAGGAAACATAGCGTAAAAAAAAGTTCATCACGATTAAAGTCCTTACTGAATCCAATCCTACCTCGTTCTTTGTGGAAGGCCAAGTCTGATGGAGTAGTGCAGCAGGAGATCAGCCTGAGTTTAGCCCCTTGGGCCCTTGGGCCCTTCCCCATGACCACAACCCTAGAAACACCCTGAAAGACTTGGTCAGGCCTGATCTAGGGACAGAGAAGCTCCACCCCAGTAAGCCCCCGACCAGCCTCGGCCACAGGGCTCCTGACGACCCAGGTGACCATGCGGAGCGCGTGGCAAGGGGGATGTGTCCTCGTAGACGGGGCTGCAGAAACTTCCTGAAACCTGAGTCCGGAGGCTCCTGAGCGGGTCATCTGCCAGGGCCAAGGCCCAAGAGGTTTTTCTGGGCAGGGAAGAGCCTGGTGTTTCCCCTGAGACCACTGGAGTGGAGATCACAGGGTCCTTGGTCGTTAGCTGACACCTCTGGGAACACAGGAGACTCCCCAGAAAGCATTCCCAAGGAGAGATACAGGAGAGAATATTTTTCTGAAAACTCCACACCTACCAGGGATCCGCCCAGGGAGCCCTCCAACGTGGAGACAAATAATACCAGATGCCATTTATTTTGGCAGCTTCGCTACACAAGACTCAGGTCAGATAATGGTGAAAGACTAAAGGCTAATTCCCATCATGGCAAACCTGAGATTATTTACCATTTACTCTATTTTATTGAGGAGAAACAAGTTACAGGAGACACTGAATTAAAGTTATTCATACCAGGACTGCACATCAGAGTGGCCCCAAGACTGAATGTAATCACAGCCCCACTCTCTCCTCATTCCAGGGGGGCATTATTATGCATCTGTGGCCTCTGAAAGCAATTGCTTGTTCAGATCCCTTCTTCCTGGGCTGCCCAACTCAGACACAGAAACTCTGGTCTGGGGAGTGTCAGCAAATGGGAATGAGCCCTGTGGACACTAGAACTAAGTAACCTGCATTCTCCAGCAGTCAGTGCTGGGGGTCCAGGCACTTGTGGGGCCCATGTCTCCCCCTCATGGGACCACTTGACAATTTCCTGCACTGGATGAAAAATCATTCATTGTTCCTTCCTGATATATTGGGGTCACTCTGACTGAAGTAGAAAGGGCCTTCTTTTCTCTAATCTTCACCTGTAGCCAGTAGAGCCTAATGTGGAACAAACTCTCAATCTTTTCTTAATTGAATAAATGATTCAGAATCTTATCACTGGAGTATGGGTGGGCCCCTGTCTCTCCAGGAACTGGAACCCAACCCCCAAACTCTGACCACCTGTACTTATAGCACCCTAGTTCTGTATGCAGGTGTCTCAGGGCTGCTCAGTGCTGGGAGGGGGTTAGGACGCATGGCTCCTCCTTCTGGGTGATTTGACTTTGAAATCATGTACAATCTGCATGCTCACTACTACCATGGATTCTCTACTCTCTGTTCCTTCCAAACCCCTCATCTTTCTCTTCATTCCGGGCAGCACTGCTTCTGCTCTGCATTGCTTCCTCTATCCTGAAGTCTCCCTCCCTCAAATTTGCCCACTGATGGCTGACTGCCCTGTTCCTTTCACACTAACAATATGGCCAAGCTCACCCTCCTCGACAATAGAAAATCAGTGGGAAAGCAGCCCTCTAGACTCCATCACAGGCCAAAAAACAGAGCACACCATGTGGCAGAGACGTTCAAACCCTTAATCCTCTCTACATGGATGTAGAGGCAGACAAGGATGTAAGGCAGAAGGACAGGTCTGCAGTACCCAGAACCTCACGGGCTCATTTTCCCTCTTTGACCTCCTGATCCTGCTGTGAGGCTCCTGTTCCTCCCAGAGACTCCCAAGACCTTCCTGGGTGGGGCTGGTCAGGCCCTGTGCCGTAGGTGCTAGTGACGATACCCTGACCACAATGTGGGCATTCTTAGATCCTGAGATCCACCAGCCACATCCTCTCACTTAAACACAGTCCACCTTGAGTGAATTTGATCAAACTCTTGGTCTCACTGAGGTGAGGAGAAAAGAAGAGAGGCTGTCACAGGCCCTTATGGGGTCTCCTCACCATGGCCTGCCGGACCACAGAGTTGCTGACTGGAAGGAACATTGTCCCTAAATTTACTAGCACAACACTTAGCATTGTTGTGAGTTTGATATCATTCCTCCCTTTTTCTAAGAGACACCTCACAACACCAACTACTCGATTCTGTCCTCTTTTTTTTTTATGATTCTGTCCTCCTAACAGAACTCACATGTCTCTATCCAGGAGTCAGTTGTTTTCACACCCACTTCAGCGCTTCCTATGTACATCATCATGTAATCCTGCTGGACTGCAAATTTGGTCTAAGGGCTTAGAATGCTCTCTAAAGAGGTATTTATTCACATATTGGACTTAAATATTTGGAGCTTTTATCATGATTTCACAAATTCTGCTTTTAACTTCTCCAGTTGGTCACTTAATTGCCAAACACAGTGTCCATAAAGCCAGTTTCAGCAGACTCATGTCTCACTGTCCACACGTCACTCCTCTAAGTCACTGATGTCCAGGAGGATGTCAGGAGAAACCAGCAGGGCCTTCAGCTGCCCTCAGAGAGGAGACATGAAAGATCTACTGTCAACCAGCCCTTCCCTTTCCCCTCACTCTATTCTAGAGCCTTCCTTGAACTCTCCTCTTCCCTTCATGGGTCACTGTCCTGTCAGTCACACCATCACCTGGACAAGACTGCTGTGCAGCACGAGGACTCAATTAACCACTGGGCTGGCCCCTGATCCCTGTGTCATTTCTACACAAGCCCCCCCAGATCCAGGCCCTGCTGCCCACATGCTTGGGATCTCAGGACTGTGGGGTGGCCCCTCATCACCCAGCACTAGGAAATCGTGGGAGAGAAGCCTGTGAAAACCCAGCTGTGTAGGTCTGTGCAACTGAACAGACTCAGCAGTCAGGACTTCCAGGCGAGCACCCCAACCCCAAGGTTCAGGCATCACTGCTCAGTGAGCCAGGAGAGGCTCTGGGGTCTCTGATGCCTGCCCTCTGACGCCTGTCTCTTCTACCTAACCTTGATACTGAACTGACACAGAGAAGGCCTATCTATTTCCTGGACATGGAGCAGGACATGGAGCTCATACCCTCCCGCGTATGTCTGGAGACACATAGACCCACCTTGTGCTTTAAGGACTCAGGTTGGCAGAGTGGTGAGAGATGTCAGCTTTGGTGGAAGACACCTGTGCAAGAATTAAAGGTACCAAAAGGGCAATGTTCTCTCTGTTACCTGCACAGCGGAGTTACCTAAACCCTACATCACATGCAACATGACATGCAACTCTGACCTTGTGGAGCAGCAGGGTCCTGTGGTGTTAACCTGTGAATCTGAGAGTCAGAACACGACCTACCTGTGGTCCATCAACAGCCAGAGCCTCCCGGACAGCGACAGGCTGCAGCTGTCCAACGACAACAGGACCCTCACATTACTCCAGGTCACAAGGAATGACACAGGGCCCTATGTGTGTGAGACCCGAAACCCAGTGAGCGCCCGCCGCAGCGACCCTTTCACCCTGAATGTTCTCTGTGAGTAACTTCTGTCCCAATGCCTTCCGGCTGCCCCACCCACACCGCCAGAGCCCAGGCCCCACCCACACCGCCAGAGCCCAGACCCCATCGTCCCTCGCAGGCCCGAGTGCACGACCCTCACCCTGGGCACCTGGGCTGGTCATGACCTCCCGTCCCAGGCAGACCAAGCAGGCCCTGTCCTGAGCCAAGAGTAGGAGGGACAGGCTGTTCCTAGGCCGGGGGGCTCAGGGTCCCCAGCCTGTGGGAGCATCTCAGACTCAGGAACTGAACTTGAGAGTGATGCTGGGACTTGCTAAAACAAAGTGACGCCGCTCGGAGGGCCGCTGAGGCCCGCATGGCCCAAGAGCGCCCTCCCGCTGATGCCATCATGTGTGGCTTTGTTCTGTTTACTCCAGATGGCCCGGACACCCCCACCATCTTCCCCTCAGAATCCTTTTACCACCCCGGGGACGTTCTCAACCTCACCTGCTACGCAGACTCTAACCCGCCCGCGCAGTATTCCTGGCTGGTCAACGGGAGGCCCCAGCACCCCACACAGGCGCTCTTTATCCCCAACATCACCATGAGTGACAGTGGCGCCTACACCTGCCAGGCCCACAACAACGCCACAGGCCTCAACAGCACCACAGTCAAGAATATCACGGTCTCCGGTAAGTGGCTCCTGGACCGTCGGCACCAGGCTCTGGGTGGAGTCTGCCAGTTTCCAGAAATGAGCATGGAAGAAACTACATCTGGCCTGTTTCCATGGAGACAAGCGAATTCCCAATCCCAAATCTGTTCCTGAATCACTACACCTCTGCGAACTCCTCCTCCCCCTGCTTTCTGGATGCTGGAATGTGGGGAAGGGGTTCTGTCCACACACCGCCACCCCCCAGGCCAACATGATACAGCAGTCTTCACGGTGGGGAAGGAACAAGGGTCTTCAAGTTCAAGTTACTTCTTTTTGTCTCTAATGTGTCCCTTCTGTCACCTTTTGTAGCTTCATCAATTTCATATGCTATAAGAATCCCACAATATCACTTCTTTTTCCCCAAAAGAGAGGCCGAGACCTCTGAGGAAGGACTAACAGGGCAGATCCTGCTGTCTCTCTACTCCTGACTCCACTGGGGACTGACTGCGTTTTCACCACCTGCGATGGGATCAAGGCACGTGGAGAAAGTGCACTGTCTGCTTTTCTTGAATCTGTGAAATTTTGCAGACAAAAACCAGTCTTTGTCAGGCCAGACTTCAGCAAAATGAAGACTGAGCCTCCAGCCAGACTCCCCTGAGCCATTTCTTGGCTCTGAAGTCACCAGCATCTGTGTGGCCCTGTGTGACACCAGCACATGTGATATACAGGAGGACCAGAACACATGATGCACCCTTGGAAGAATAAGTAGCTATCCCCAAGGTGTGTCTTCATGGTATAAAAGGCATAGCCCTAAAAACATACTTTATAGAGCGGACCAGTCTCTAGAGAGTACCAGTCTTTTCTGAAAACTGATCACTTCTCTCTAGAGATTTCCTTCTCTGTGATGTTCAAACCACAGACCAGGAAATGAAAGTTCTTTTCAAACTGAGGAATCTGTAGATTAGAATTCCTCCAGGTCCTAAGGTCATGAAGACCGGCTGGGTCATTCTCATTTTCTAAACATCTTCCCTTTTCTATATAGAGCTACCATACTAGAGAGGGATCTGATCTTTTATAAAGTCACAGAAAGCTCCAGGAAAAGGTTTAAAAAAATCAATGGGAGAGAAATGCCTCTGGATCATGAGATTGTTGGACACAAGGACTGAGAAGAGGATCCTGTGCTGACACTACAGGGATGGGGCAGGGGGCCCGGTCAGGGGTCACTCTGGGGTCACCTGGGGCCAAAGGGGAAATACAGCCCTCTCCTACAGATCGCCACCTAAACAAAGATATTCGACCTCCGCACCGAGGTCAGAGTAAGCCTGTGACATTTTTCAGTCTGCGGGGGGCTGAGACCTGAGCAGGGAGCATGGTCCAGGACCCAGACCCCACCCCCAAGTCAGTCACCTTGATGTTTCTCCACAGAGTCAGTGGCCCAGCCCTCCATCCGAGCCAGCAACAGCACAGTCAATGAAAAGGACGAGGTGAACCTGATCTGCATCACAAGAGACTCTGGGGTCACCATCCTGTGGCTCTTCAATAACCAAATAATGAAGCTCACAAACCACATGGCACTGTCCAAGGACAACCGCACCCTCACCATCAACCCTGTCAGGAGGGAGGATGCCGGGGAGTATCAGTGTGAGGCCTCCAACCCAGCCAGTTCCAGAAGAAGTGACCCCTTCACCTTGAAAGTGCTCTGTAAGTGACCCTTTGCCCCATCTTTACAGCTTCATGGAAGGAATAGTGCTGCAAAATGAAGAGAAAGTAGTGGAGACAAAATATCAATAAAGAGATCGTTAACAGAATAACAAAAGAATAAGATTTCAGTCACTAAAAAAGTTCAGTCGCTAAAAAATATATAGTTTGTTTCTTATACTGACCATGGTATTTACTGTGCAACGTGGCACAAGCTCCTTTCTGTTGTAAGATATGAGTAAGATTTGCCACGTCACCCTTTTTTTTTTTTTTTTACTTCACCCATTTTTAAGTACACAATGCAGAGGCTTTTAATACACTTATATTGTTGTACAATCATTGCTACTACCCATTTCCAGGTCTTTTTCGTCTTCTTGAACTAAACTTCTGGACATTAACTCCCAACCTCCCACCTCAACCTAGTAACCACTGTTATACTTTCTATCTTTATGAATTTGACTATTCTAGGCATCTGGTATAAGTGAAATCATATCGTCTGTCCTTTTGTATCTGGAGTTCAAAGTTCATCCATGACATGGCATGCATTAGTCACGCCTTTTTAAGGCTGAATAATATTCCCTTGTATGTACATCTCATATTTGTTTACTACTCACCTGTCCATGAACTTTTGCATTGGTTCCACATTTTCACTGTTATAACTAATGTTGTTGTGAGCAAGGGTGTGCAAATATTTGTTTAAGTCCCAGTTCTCAATTCTTTGCGGTATAAACCCTGAAGTAGAATTGCTGGATCAAATGTTAATTCTTTGTTCAATTTTTTATGAATTGCCACGCCATTTTCCACAATGGCTGCACATTTTATATTCCCACAAGCAAAGAAATTGCACAGAAATTCCAATTCTCCATATCCTTACTAACACATGTTTTTCTGTCTTGTCTGTGTTTCTCTTATATAAATCCTTCTAATCGGTTCAAGATGGTATATCCTTGTGGTTTTGATTTGAATTTCACCAGCAACTGGTGATGTTTAGCATATTTTCATGTGCCCATTGGCCACTGCATATCTTTGGAGAAATTTGTACAAGGTCTTAATTCAGTTTATGTTGTTACTGGGTAGTAGTCATTTACATATTCTGGATATTAATCCCTCATCAAATTTGATTTGTAAATATTTTCTTCTACTCAGTGGATTGTCTTTACACTTTGTTGACAGTGTCCTGTGGTGCATAAAAGTTTCTAATTCTAATGAAATCCACTTACCATATTTTCTTTTGTTGCCTGTGCTTTGGGTTTCATGTCTAAGAAATCACTGCCAAGTTTGAAGTCATGAAACTTTTATCCTATGTTTTCTTCTAAGAATTTTATAATTTTAGCTCTTAAATCACAGAATTTGGTTCACTTTTGAGATAATTTCTTGTATATGTGTTAGGGAAGACTTCAACTTAATTCCTTTGCAAGATACTCATTTTTCTCAGCACCACTTGTTGAAAAGACAACCTTTTCCCTCTTAGTGGTCTTAGTGCTCCTGCTGGGATTTATCTTGGGATCTCTACTCTGCCCAACTGGCCTATAATATCTGGCTTAATGGTAGGACCACACTGCTTTTCTCACTGTAGCTTTATAGTAAAATTTTGAAATCAGAAGTGTGAGTCCTTCAGTTTGCTCTCTTTTTTCAGGTTTGTTTTAGATATTTGGGATCTCTTGAAATATATAAATTTTAGGATGAGGTGGATAAACTTTAGAATGGTGTTTTTCAATTTTTGCAAAAAAATTATTATTGGTATTTTGATAGGGATTGCATAGGAACTGTAGGTCATTTGGGATAGTAACATCATCTTTGCAATAGTAACACTTCTAATTTATGAACATAGAATGTCCTTCCATTTAATTAGGTCTTTAATTTCAGCAGTGTACAAGTGGACAATTTATAGTGTCCAAGTCTTTCACCGTTTTAATTATCTCCTAGGTTTTTTATTCTTTTTGATGCTATTGTAAATGGAATTGTTTTGTTAATTTCCTTTTCAAGCTATTCATTGCTAGCGTACAGAAATACCACTGATTTTTTTTCATGTTGATTTAATATCCTAGAACTTTGATAACTTAGTCATTGGTTCTGGTTATTGGTCCTAAACAGGCTTTAGTATTACAGAATCTTTAGCATTTTCTATATGTAAGTTCATGTTATCTACAAAATAAGATCATTTTTCTTTTTTTCTATTTGAATGCCTTTTATTTCTTGCCTAATTGTATTGGCTATAGCTTTCAACCTTATTTGAAACAGAATTGGCCAAAGCCAGCATGTTTGCCATGCATGTTCCTGATTTTAGAGGGAAACTTTCATTCTTGCACCACTGAGTATGATGATAGTTATATATCATCATATATATATATATATATGATAATATATATATATATATATATGATAATATATACA